GGCGGGTGCTGGTGCCCAGGCGTTGGTCCCTACGGTGGGTGCCAGCGCCGGGGTCCCCGCAGTGGGTGCCCCTGAGGTAGGTACAGCTGCTCGGCGGCCACCGGCTGCTCAGACCGACGACTCCTCAGGGTTGGAGTCGGGCAGGGGCTGGCGCTGCTGCAGTTTGCGCCGCAGCTCCTCGGCCAGGTCGGCGCAGGGCGGCCGCTCCTCGGCACCCAGCGCCAGGCGGATGTAGCCGTTGGAGGAGGAACCACGCAGGGGACCAAGGTGGATGCGGGTGGGTGAGTGAAGGGGCTGCCCAGGGATGCCGCTTGGTGGCGAGGTGGCACCGGGGGGGCCGCCGTTGCGGCACGTGGCGTGACCCGGCACGATTTTGAGCGAGCCGTCCGAGTAGTAGTAACTGGCTGGGTCCCAGAGCTTCTCATCCGAGTCGGAGGCGGCGCTGGGGACGAAGCGGGGACTGGGGGGCTCCTTGGGCAGCTCGATGGGGTACACCAGGGTGCTCTCAATGGCTTTGGTGCCTTTCCCCAGCTCCTCCCGCAGCCGCCGCCACAGCGAGAACACCACGAGCACCAGCACCAGGCACAGCGCGCCCAGGCACACGGCCACCACCCACACCAGCCCCAGGCTCTCCAGCGGCGCCCTCGTCTCCAGGGGTACCCCGGCCCCGGCCAGCACCACCACCCGGTACACCTCCCCGCCCAGGCGGGCACCCTGCTCCTCCGAGAAGCACCGGTACGTGCCGCTGTGCTGAGCCCCTGCTCCCGGCACCACCAGCGCCCGCAGGCGGGTGTCGTGCAGCACCAGCGCCTGCTCGGCCGGCAGCGCCCGGCCCTCGAAGGTCCACAGCGCCTGTGCCAGGTTGGAGCCCAAGCGGCACGTGAGAACCAGGTCGGTGCCCGCCACCACCGTCACGTTTTTGGGGGTGATGGAGCCTGTGGGAGAGCGGCGCAGGGTCAGGAGGGGAGGCAAAAAGCCAGGGAGGACCCAAGCCCCGCGTGGCGTTGCCGCGGTCTCACCTTGCTTGGCCACCTGAGGCAGGGTGCAGGCACGGGTGTCGGAGCTCAGCACGTCCTGGACCAGTTGGGACCTGTGGGAGGAGGTGGTGGAAGTGAAGGGGGTCCCTGTGGCACAGCGGGTGTCCCCCCATCCCCACAGGGACCCCCCTGTACCCGTTGAGGCCGTCAGTGCGCACGCAGAGGCTGGCGTTGCGGCTCCAGGCGCAGTAGGGATCCCGGGCGAGGACGCAGTCGGTGCACGACTGGTACCGGCTGCAATCGGCCAGCGGCAACTGGGCTAACTGGAACCGGGAGCCAGCGAAGAGCAGCTTCTGCGAGGGTAGAAGGGGTGAGGTGACACCCGAGGTGACACCCAGACACTGTCCCCTGCCCCGGGGCACCTCTCACCTTCCGTCCAGCCAGCACCAGGCTCTCCACGGGCTGCGCCGGCTCGAATACCTGCAGCTCCTCAACCAGATGGATGCGAGTGCCCAGGTTCAGCGCCTTGTGCACCCAGCCATCACCTGCGGGTCCCAGCGGGCTGTGAGAGACATTCCCACACCGGGACCTTCCCGTGGTGGCTTCCCCTCAGCCCGGCACCTACCCGTGCCGATGAAGAGCACCTCGTAGATGGCACCGTCCAGCCCGGCCACTCGGTCCACCACGAGCTGGGTGAAGTTGGAGTCCTTCTTGAGCAGCAGCGGGCGGCCGCGGTGTGGCAGGATGGGCTCGTCCATGAGCGGGTGCTTCTTGGCGAAGTTGAGGGTGTTGTCGGGCAGCTCAAGGGAGCTGGCGAAGCCGTTCTGGCGGTGCCAGTCCGTGATGCACTGTGGGACCGAGGTCACCGTCACTGAGGGACTGTATCCGTACCCCATCTCCCTCCCCACTGCCAGTACTTGCACTCACCGCGCCGGGACGGGGACTTGGCACCTCATCTGAGTACCGGCCCCACTTCTGCGCCTGCTCCCGGTATTCCTTGTAGGGGCCCTCGAATGCCTTCTTCACCTCCAGGATGTGGTACCGGCAAATGGCCGAAACATCCACGTCCCCCCTGCAAGCAACAGGGCGGGATGGAGGGGAGCCACCAGTTCTGGGGCTGATGCCACCTCCCCATGGACCCACCGCCAGTTCTGGGGCTGATGCCACCTCCCCATGGACCCACCGCCAGTTCTGGGGCTGATGCCACCTCCCCATGGACCCACTGCCAGTTCTGGGGCTGATGCCACCTCCCCATGGACTCACCAGCGGGCCTGGAAGACCCCAAAAAAGGTGGTGTCCTGCCATTCATCCCCGGGCAGGGTGAACACAGCCTGGAGGCGGTTGAAGTGGAGCTGCTGCTCGGGGGCTGAACACACCAAACGGGCCTTCAGGAACGTTGTCCACTTCTTCTGCAGCGTGCGGGCCCCGCCGACGTCCCCCTGCGCACCCAACCGGTGTCACCGCAGGGTGAAGCCACACCAGGACGCCGTCCCTCGCCCCGGTGTCCCCTCCCTGTACCTTGCAGACCCGGGCCACGCGGGCCACCACTTGCTCGGCGTAGCAGTCGTACTCCACCGCGCGCTCGCTGAAGAAGAAGTAAACTTTGTCATCGTCGCCGGTGGCGCTGGCCGCGCTCTCCTGCACGTAGGCTGAGGCCACAAAGTGGGGCTCTGTGGTGGAAAAGGGACATCAACCCCATGCCACGGGTTGGGGGTGTCCACGCAGTCCTCCCCCCCCATGTTCCCCCCAGCCCTACCGTTCAACCAGGAGGTGAGATACTCGGTCTTCATGGAGTAGTGGGGGCCCAGGTTGCGGAGGATGACGGGCTCCGTGCCCAGGAAGTTGTTGAAGGTGGCTGAGTAGAGCTCCCCGTCTGCGAGAAACAGGGTTAGGAAGGGGACAGGGGCTGGGGTGGGACCCCCCCGCTGGCCCCAGCAGTGCCACTTACCCACGATGAGGCCGGTGTGTCCCTTGGTGGGGTCATAGGGGCACTTCCCTTTGCCGTCCTCAAAAGCCACTTGGTCCAGGGTGAAGCCAGAGAGTTCCTGTGGGGCACAGGAGCAGGTGGGGGGGGTTCAACACCCACCCTGGTTCATGTCACCATGAGGTGATCTGAGCACCCCTGAGCAGCCCTGGTCCCCCAGATGAGCCTCTGGGGAACAGGGACACCACTGGATGATGCTTCTGGGCACAGGGACACCCCTGGGTGATGCTCCTGGAACAGGGACACTCCAAAGATAACCTTTCTGGGACAAAGACAGCCCATTACAGAGACAGGGATACCCCTAACAACGCTCCAGGGTGACACCCCTGGGCCACCCTATGGGAACAAGGCCACCCCTTAATCATGCCCCTGGGGACAGGGACACCCTTGGATGATGCTCCTGGGAATAGAGACATCTATGGAGCACCTTCCTCAGGACAGGGGCACCCCTGGGAGATGCTTCTGGGGCAGGGATACCCCCCAGACAGCCCTTCTGGGATGAGCACAGACACATTATGGGGAAAAGAACACCCTAACAAAGCTCCAGGTGGTCAAAGGGACACCCCCAGACCAGCCTCACAGGAACAAGGCAACCCCTTAATGACACCCCTGGGGACAGGGACATCCCTGGAGCACCCTTTTGGGGATAGGGACACCCCTTGGTGATGCTCCCAAGGCCGGGTGGGGGTGTCCAGGGGGGGAAGCAGGGGGGTGACAGGTTCTGGGGTGCCCCCATGGCTGCACTCACAATGTAGGTGCACTTGGGCTGGAAGGCGTAGGTGCCGCAGGCGTAGAGATGGGAACTGTTGTAGCTCTGCAGGAACCGCACGTAGTTGAAGCAGTCGGTCTGGGGGGGGGGGGACAAGAGGCGGTTAAGGGGGGACACAGCAGGATGCCCTGTCACCCTTTCATCCCCCCCACTGCAACCACAGCACCCGCTTGCCCAACCTGGTTGTTCTTGCCCTTCTGGATGCACTCGGCTTTCTTATCCACGGGGGCTTCCCAGGAGATCTGGGGATGGAGACAAGGGGTCAGGGGGCTCCAAACACCCCCCACCCCCCCCCAGACCCTCCAGGAACACCCCGTGGGGGGGTCCCTGGGGCCTCACCGCTGCCTTGAGCTCCACGGTGCCGGTGGCCACGGCGAAAACGGCCTCCCGGGCCCCCACGTAGAGCAGCGCCTCAGCCGCGTCCAGCGTCAGCGTCAGGTAGTGAGAGACCCCCCCCTGCGAGAAGCGCTTGGCCACGTCCTGCAGCTCTGTTGGGAGGGGGGGGCACAAAGAGGGGGGACATGGGGGTGAAGCCCCAGCCCCGCCGGGCACCCGCAGCCCCCCCCCTTGACCCCCTCCTGCAGAGCACAAAGGGCTCTTTGTCACCGGGGCGGGCGCTGGCGGCGCCGCGCGAACACTGCGGCCTTTGGAGGGACCCCGCGGACCCCCCCCGGCACCGGCACTACAGAAAGGCACCATTGAGAGGGGGGCACCGGGGCCCCTGGGTGGGGATGGGGACACGGGGATGGCACGGCATGGGGATGGCATTGAGGATGGTACCACATGGGGACAGCATTGGGGATGGCACGGACACACAAGGCAATGGGACAGCATGGGGATGGCACATGGGTGGCACAGGGACGCTGGGTGCTGGCACAGCATGGGGATGGCACAGGAAAGGACAGGAGTCAAGCACGGGCATGGCACAGGGATGTGGGTCATGGGCATGGGGACAACACAGGGACAGGGGACATGGCACAGGGACGCTGGCACAGCGCAGGGATAGAGGACACAGGGCACTGCCACTGCACCAGGGCATGGGGACACAGGGCATGGCACAGGGACATGGCACACGGCAGATGGGGACACACAGTACTGGCACAGGACGGGGACACAGGGTGCTGGCACGGCTAAAGGATGGCACCTCGGGGTGCTGGCATGGCAGAGGGACACAGCACAGGGATGGGGACCCCAGGCACTGGCACGGCACGGGGGCACCGCGCTACGTTCCCAAGAGTCCCCCTCTGCTCTCACAGACCCCCAACGCAGGGGGGGTCCCCACAGCACTGCCAAGCTGGGAGGGGACAGAACGTGCCCGAGGTGGGGACAACAGAGCCCCAGGGAGCAGCACCCCAACCCTCTCCATTCCCCTCTCCCTGGACGCCCGCAGTTACTCACCCGCGTACGGGACGGTCTTGCGGGGCACGGCGCTCCACGAAGACCCCGGTGCCGCGGCAGCGGTGGCAGCGGTGGCGAGGGCCAGCAGCGAGGCGAGGGCCAGAAGCCAGTGGGGGGCCATTGCGGGAGGGGACGGGACAGGGAGACAGAGCCTGGGGGGGGCACACGGACACGGCCGGGCCCCGTTAGGGTAACGGGGCATCACGCGGGCGGCGCGGGGACAAGGAGGCCATTGAGGAACGCGCATCACGAGGCCGGGGTGCCCCACGCAGTGGGGCGGGGGACACACACACACACACACACACACGCGGGTCCCCAATCGCTGACCCCCCCCAATCACGGTCCCTCCTCCGGTGGTGACGAGCAATGGGGCGGAGGGGGGTCCACGGAGGAGGAAACGGGCCCTTCCGCTTCCCCCCCACGTCACCCCCGGCCCTGCCCCGGTGTGTTCGGGGGTGCCCCAGCCGTGCGCCCCCCCCACCCCGCACCAGGCTGGGCAGGATGCGGCCGGGAATTGTTCTGCCCTGCCCAGCGGGAAGCAGGAAGCGGAGAGGAGGGGGGGGTCTGGGGGAGCCTGCATCAGCTCGGGAAGGATTTCCGGGAGGGTGGGGGGCCGGGAATGGGACCCCACGGGCGTGGGAATGGGGGACGCCCCAGAGCGGGGAGGGGGTGCGGGCAGGGGGCTGGTGGTGCCATGGGCATGGTCAGGGTGCCATGGGTACGGTTGGGGTGTCGTGGTCAAAGCTGGGGTGCAATGGACACAGCTGGGGTGCCACAGGCACAGTGAGGGTGCCATGGGCATGGTCAGGGTGCCGTGGACATGGCTGGGGTGCTACAGGCATGGCTCTGGCGATGCCAGGGTGCCATGGGCATGGTTGGGGTGCCA